GATAGACTGTAGGGCAGACAGACACACAGAACACAGTTTGAATGAATGTGGCTGCACTGTCTAAGCCTCTAGTTCTATTCATATTTGCGCCTAGCTCGACCGTCCAGGCCAGTTCACTTGCCAGGCAACTGGGAAATCTCCAGGTCTTCCTGATGGCAAACAATCATTTTTGAACGGAATGTGAACATTGCTTAAAACTTCAGTGAGAATTGTATGTATTATATGTTTATGTTTTGTGTATAAAACTTATATCTGAGTGCTTGCTACAAGCATCCATTGTCTGTGAGTAAGTCAGCTAAGCAAATATTAATGCATATGTTAAACTGAAAGGAAATCTTGTGTTTTTTGCAATGGCAATTGCCCCTTTTATGTTTATGTTTCATCTATTTGTACTGATGAAAATATTGGCTACATAACTGTAAACAAAAACCACACAGATTCGATACACTTTTTTGGAATATTTTATAAATATTTAAACTGTGTATAGAAATTTGTTCAAAAATGTTTATTCAAATATATAATTTCATAAACAGTCATTAACTTGCAGTACATTAAACTACAATCATGGCCCTACTTTAATAAGAATAAAAAAGAGGTTTCAATGGCAGCCTGAAATCATGCAATTGAGTACTTTAACTGAGTAAGAAAAACAGGGGACAATTTGATGATTTATGCCAGTAAACCAAACTACAGTTATTATACCATTTTAATTCTTTGCTATGCTTTTCACAGGGTTCTCCATTGCAAAGTTCACCTTGATTCGTTTGTAGAGTACTTTAATAGACTGCAATACCTCCTCTGTCTTCAGAGTATATATGATGGGGTTTAACATGGGTGGAATTGCTTGTGTTAGGACTGAGTTAAATATTCTAGTATTTATGGGTACAGATGTTGTAAGAGTCAACATATAAATGCTAAAGACTGGTAGATAAAACATGGCCACTAATATGAGGTGGGAAGTGCAGGTTTTCATAGCTTTAACACGATCAGCTCCATGTGAGATTTTAAGCAATGCAACACCAATACAAACATATGAGAAAGCTATTAGCGTCAATGGAATGCAAAGAACTAAAATAATATTGGTATCTGCCATCATGTAATTAGGAGTATTATCATTACAGGCTAGTTTGATGACAGGGCCATGGTCACAGAAATAACTGTCAACTGTGGTAGATCTACAGAAGGACAGTCTGTCAATTAGAGCTACAGTAACACCATTGATAGTCACAGAGATAACCCACAAAACACCAATGATCAGAGTCATTGTGGTTTTGGTGACAATAGCATGATACCTCAGAGGAAAACATATAGCAATTACTCTGTCAAAGGACAAAGCAAGCAGAGTAAAAGATTGAAGACTCATGAAGAGAAAAACAAAAAACATGCTTGTGAGGCAGTCTTCATAAGATATGTACTGGTTCTCTAACAGAAACATGTCTGCATACATCGGAATAAGAGCAGAGCTTCCACACAGATCAGACAAGGCCAAGTTGAAGACAGCTATATACTTAGCTGTGTGTAGAGTACGTGCCAGGTATATAGTACCCATTATAAAGGAATTCCCTAAAACAGTCACAGCGTACACAAAACACAAAAATATATAGTAATACTTTGAATGTGGCATGTTGTACAATCCACTGACGTAAAATGCAGAGGGCCGAATAAATGTTGTATTGTCAAGAGACACCATGGAAGTCATGTCAGGAGACTAGTCTTGAACAAAAAAAGAATAATAATAGAACCTTCAAACAGTTTTTACACTATACATCATCAAAAAAATTAATGCAAATAAAAATGGTTAAAGAAATTTTCTAAAATACAAAACAAATCAGTAGCAAATGACGGCCTCTCTAAAACTAATTGACACTTATGAAACAAGACTATAGGATGTTAATGACTGATCCCCAATAGTTTGATACAATACCTTTTGCAGCAGTGTATACAAAACGTTTTAGAGCAAAATTTCACAAGAGGCCATACATACTTATAACTGATCTATGTTTACGTCATCCTTGAAAGCACACCTCCAAAACACAATATTCATAGACAAGGTTATATACCAAACTGGAATACATTTGCAGTGTCTTCCAGTGTAATGCACCATGTAAAATTCTGGTGTAATGTTACTGATGAATTTTACCAGAAAAAAGGTCAGAATACGAGACTGTCAAACTTTGTCTGCAATGTAACACATGCTTCCTACTCCAGCAGTGTTCAACAGAAAAAGGGATCCATTCATGACCTAATTGATTGTTTGCATATGCAAATGCTGCCTGTGCAGTGTAGATGAATCCTTATTTGTTTTTCAGATCCCTTTAGGAGAAAAAAAGAGACAGGTTTTGGTACAAATTAAAGTTATTTGTTATTTTATCTAAAGTAAATACCCCTGTTGTTTTCATCCCAACACACAATATGGTATGTCATATGTCATGTGACATACAGTTGAAACCCTGTAAATCTGGAATGTCAACAGAAATCAGATGGTTCCATCATGAGTGAGTGGGTATAAACTATCAGCCAGCATATTACATTCTAGGTTACGTCATCCTCAGTTACATGTTTAGTGGTGAAACATAAACAGTTTAAACTTTAGATCCTTCTAAGCCTTCAGAGAAAGTCCAATGATTTCTGCAAACAAAATATACAAGTATAGAATTTTTTGTTCATTTCTATTCCAAATAATCATTATATTTGCTGTCACAGACAACCTTTTTGGTTGAAAGACAATCAATAGAAATACTTCACACTTTAATGGCCTTAACTGTTATATTGATGTCCCACCCAATAATAATTGCACACCAATCTGAAGTTTGTTCTGAATGTGCTTGTGCACTCACTTAAAAGCTTTCCTAGTGCATCCGGCAAAAAAGGCAGTGTAATGTTTCTCTTATATAGCGGTAGAAAACACAGAAAGCTGCCATTCCACATGATCCATTTTACTGTGGTCAATGTGAACAAGGACGCATAATAGCTAGTGTGGAGGCAGATTTAAACTAGCTAAAGGGAACATGCGTATCAGCTGTAAGAAATAAAGTTTGACAGGGCTTGTCTTGTTCCTTATGGTTACACTGGCAAACTGAACTATTAAAGCTAGGCCTTCAGTTCAAGCCATAAACGCCTCTTGTCAAAAATGTGTTGTAGGGGCTGGCTCCAGCACCTCCCAGAGCCAATCAAGCCCAACATCCTACACCTGGGCAGAGGGCTTCATAAGGGCAGAGAAGGAGTCTTTATTAAAGTTTAAGTCAATAGAAGCAGCCAGTATTTTGGGTAAGAGGGCTAAGAGTTTTTCACTCCTCCTCACTTCTCGAGTTGCTCCAGCTTCCTCTCGAGGTTCTATTCTCTGTTCTCTGTCTCTGAGAGAAAACAAGAACTTGAAGGAATCCTCCTTCCTTCTCTTCAGTTTTGGTTTTGTTTCTGCTGGGAAAATCATTTTTCACTGTAGTTACTAAGTTCTCTCTTTACTTCTCAGAAAGCCAGTTAGCCCCTGGCACCCTTTGTTCTCTCTACCTGCCTGAACCAAAACGAGTGGGTTTACAGTTCGGATATATTTTGCCCACTCGTTTTCAGGCACTACTTTATAAGGTGTGTTCCTTTCAGTGTTCTTCCCTGTGGCTCATCACTTGTTAAGTTTTTTAGTTGAGCTCATCCTTCACATTGTACATTAGCTTGGAATTTGGGTCCTGTCTCCCTAAAACCTGTGGTGGCTTACCTGGTAGGCCTCTGAAATATAACTCAGACTGCCTGGGTTCACATTCTCTGTCTGGTGAGCCATCCCACGTTACAGAAAGACACAGCCAAACAGAGCAGCCGTGTTGGCTGTAGTGTACATAATTTTACAACTCCTCTAAACTATCAACACTTAATCTGTATGGAAAATGCTGAGAGTTTTCCTACAGTTGTATGTTGCACTCTGGGAAACCCCCAGCATATTTTTACTCTGTAAGTCCAGGATTTTCCCTGACAAGTGCTAAACAGTATGGAGAAAATACTGCAATTTTCAGACCAATATTGAGATTTAAATTGCAATTAATAGCTTTCCATTAAAGCATGATACAACAAAGGTAATAAAGTATAATAGAAATCATAACTGTTGCAATTTGAAAATCTCACTTTTTCAAATAGTGATTATGCATTAAATCATTATGAACTGTGAGAAAGTGTGAGCTCGAGTTCAGCACTCAGAGAATGTGGATGTGAGTTGACAGTTTAGGTTTAGAGATAACTGTTAGCCAAACTCCCTTTATGTTTGGTGTAGCTGTCATCCGGCTGTTAATAAAGTACAATGAAATAAGCAGAAGCTGTGTCTTCTGTTGATAACGGTGAATGCTGCAAAAGTAAGGTATGCTGTCTTTTTAAGAAATTCTGAGCATACATTTTGGCTGTTATTGACTTCAGAAGATGCTTAGTATATTTGTGTTAGCTTGCCAGTTAGCACTTTGATCTGAAGCCAGTTATTACATGCAACATGCATGCTTAAAAAAATCATTTGGACTAATAGTGTGATAGAGTGTAGTGCAGACAGACACACAAAACACATTATGTTGACAGATGAATAAATGCAGCTGCACTGTGTAAACTTCTAGTTTAATTCATCTTTGCATCGAGCTTGACCGTCCTGGCCAGCTCACATCCATGTCTTCGCGATGGTCATGGACCTGGTCATATTTGAATTGAATAGCTTTAAAACTTCATAACTATAAAGAATAACCACACAGGTTTAATACACTTTTTTTGAAATATTTAAAAAAATATTTAAGCTGTGCATAGAAATTTGTTCAAAAATTGTTTATTCAAATAAATACCTGCTAAAAAAAAGTTTTAATTTCATAAACAGTCATTAATTTGCAGTATATTAAACTACAATCATGACCTTACTTTAATTAAAAAAAAAATCAATAGCAGCCTGAAGTGATGCAGTTGGGTCCTTTACCTCAGTAAGAAAAACAGTGGACGATTTGATGCTTTATGCTAGTAAGCCAAACAACAGTTATCATACCATTTTAATTCTTTGCAGTGCTTTTTACAGGATCCTCCATTGCAAAGTTCACCTTGATTCGTTTGTAGAGTACTTTAATAGACTGCAATACCTCCTCTGTCTTCAGAGTATATATGATGGGGTTTAACATGGGTGGAATTGCTTGTGTTAGGACTGAGTTAAATATTCTAGTATTTATGGGTACAGATGTTGTAAGAGTCAACATATAAATGCTAAAGACTGGTAGATAAAACATGGCCACTAATATGAGGTGGGAAGTGCATGTTTTCATAGCTTTAATACGATCAGCTCCATGTGCAATTTTAAGCAATGCAACACCAATACAAACATATAAGAAAGCTATTAGTGTTAATGGAATGCAAAGAACTAAAATAATATAGGTATCTGCCATCATGTAATTAGGAGTATTATCATTACAGGCTAGTTTGATGACAGGGCCATGGTCACAGAAATAACTGTCAACTGTGGTAGATCTACAGAAGGACAGTCTGTCAATTAGAGCTACAGTAACACCATTGATAGTGACAGATATAACCCACAAAACACCAATAATCAGAGTCATTGTGGTTTTGGTGACAATAGCATGATACCGCAGAGGAAAACATATAGCAATTACTCTGTCAAAGGACAAAGCAAGCAGAGTAAAAGATTGAAGACTCATGAAGAGAAAAACAAAAAACATGCTTGTGAGACAGTCTTCATAAGATATGTACTGGTTCTCTAACAGAAACATGTCTGCATACATAGGAATAAGAGCAGAGCTTCCACACAGATCAGACAAGGCCAAGTTGACGACAGCTATATATTTTGCTGTGTGTAGACTACGTGCCAGGTATATAGTACCCATTATAAAAGAATTCCCTAAAACAGTCACAGCAAACACAAAGCATAAAAACATATAGTAATACTTTGAATGTGGCATGTTGTACAATCCACTGACGTAAAATGCAGAGGGCCGAATAAATGTTGCATTGTCAAGGGACACCACGGAAGTCATGTCAGAAGACTGGTCTTGAACAAAAAAAGAATAATGATAGAACCTCCAAACAGTTCTTTACACTATACATCATCAAAAAAATGAATGCAAATAAAAATGACTAAATACATTTTGTAACATATCAAACAAATCAGTAGCAAATAACAGCCTCACTTATGAAACAAGAGTAGAGGACGTAATGACAGATCCAATAGTTTGATACAATACCTTTTGCAGCAGCGTATACAAAATGTTTTAGAGCAGAATTTCACAAGAGGTCATACACATTTATAACTGATCTATGATTACATCATCCTTGAAAGCACACCTCCACATAAAAAAACTCACAATTTCTATAAACAAGGTTATATACCAAAATGAAATACATTTGCAGTCTTCCAGTGTAATGCACCATGTAATAATTCTTTTGCAATATTTCTGATGTACAAATGCAATAATGGTTTCTCTGATTAATAAAATTTGTGCAAAAAATGATAAATCAAGACAGAATGCAGGATTATTAAACTGTGTCTGCAGTGTAACACATGCTTCCTACCTCAGCAGTGTTCAACAGAAAAAGACATCCATTCATGACCTAATTGACTGTTTGCATATGCAAATGCTGCCTGCCATGCACCACTGTTTATCCAACATTCAAAGGCAGTGTATATGTATCCTTAATTCTTTTCTGTATCCCATTAGGAGAAAAAGGAGAGGGGCTGTTTTTTTGTACAAATTTAAGTTGCTTGTGATTTTATTTAAAGTAAATGCCACTGTAGCCTTCATCCTGACACACAATATGGGATCTGGTTTCTGACATTTGAATCATGATCTACAGTTTAAAAGGTTATATCAATCATTTTGCCAGGCGTTAAATCAAAGGTTATCATAAATCATCTTGTGAGACACAGTTTAAACTCTGTAAATCTGGAATATCAACAAAAATCAGATGGTTCCATCATGAGATTGTGTGTATTGTGAGTATAAACAATCATCCAGGATATTACATTCTTGGTTATGTCATCCCCAGTCACATTTTTAGTAGTGAAACAGAAACAGTTGTGAAACTTTAGATCTGTCCATGCCTTGAGAGAAAGTCCAATGATTTCTCTGAACTAAAAAATACAAGTACAGAATTTTAAGTTCATTTTTATCTTAAGAATCATTACACTTCCCACCCAATAATAATTGCTCAGCAATCTGAATTTTGTTCTAAATGTGCTTGTGCGCTCACTTGGAAGCTTTTGCAGTGCATCTGGCAAAAAAGGCAGCCTCACGTTTCGCTTATATATTCGTAGAAAACACAGAAAGCTGTCGTTCCACATGGTGATCCCTTTTACTATGGCCAGAGTGAGCATGGACACATCATAGCTAGTGTGGAGGCAGATTTAAACAAGTTAAAGGGGACAGATGTATCAGCTGTAAGAAATTATGTTTGGCAGGGCTTGTCTTGTTACTTATGGTTACAGTGGCAAACAGGGACTATTAGAGTTAAGCCTTTAGTTCAAGCCATAAACGCCTCAAGTCATAAATGTGAAAAAAATGCCCAAGCTTCCTGACCTAGTCAAAGAAACACTCTCAGTTTGACCATCACAGCTGATTTTTGATGTGCAGACATCTCTGATGGACAAGAAAGTGTAAAACAGTGATGTGATATCACATATCACTAAATTTCTGTATGTAAGTGACTCAGCCCTGTCTTTTTGTGAACAGGTTCTCTGTCAGCAAGTGTTCTGCGCAGGCTGCACGGCACACGGATACATGCAGATGATTCAAGTTTCATGCTCGGTCGCACATGTGACATAAGCAAGGACGGGCCTTATCGTTGAACATGACTGACTATTTAAGATCATCCTGTTGCATGTGCTTTGCATACTGACTCATGCTATTATGTTGGTAGCATCCTTTACAAGCTAAGTATGCTTTAGAGAAGAGTTCGAAAGCAATTCGAGCAGTTGGAAGAGTTCACGAGAGGTCGCATCGTAGGGCTTTGGGAAGCGGGATGGTCTTATTGATGTATTGTGTGCTATACCGATCATGCAGATGTTACCACAGCACGCTGTTGGTGGCAGTGGATAGAAGAAGGCGCACACCACTGACATGAAGGATCTGGGAGACCTACACGAACCACGGAGAGGGAGAACTGATGGATTGTCCGACATGCACGGAGTGACCCAACAGCCACAATTGCGGACATTCAGCAAGCAGTGATGCCCTCCATGAGTCATCCTGTTAGTGCCAGCACCATTAGCAGATGGCTGCTCGATGCAGGACTACATGCACGCAGACCATTATGACGACTGCCCTTAACACCACGTCAATGTCGCTGAAGACTGCAATGGTGTCGTGCCAGACTGTCATGGAGTGACAGCGGGTCATCTTCAGTGACAAGTCCCACTTTTGTCTTGTTGGAGATGACCAACGAATCTGTGTGGGGGCACCATGATCAATGCCAAGATGAACAGTTTGTTCTCACACGGAACACGTCCAGAAGGCTTGGTGTAATGGTGTGGAGTGCAATTTTGTATGATGCCAGATCACCTTTGGTCTTAATTACAGGCACTTTGACAGCCCAACGCTACGTTTATAAGGTCCTGCAACCATCTGCAGGAACTGCGTGAGAATATTCTGCACGGGATGGATTATCTCAGGACACCATTAGGAACCACTACAACTCCATGACGAGACATCTGGCATGTTGTGTTATGAAACATGGCGGCCGCCCGACACCATACTGAGAGACACTACCTCTGTATGTGTAGCTCAATAAATATGGCCTTCATTGCTCTAAATTTTTAATCATTTATTGTTCCTGGTAACTTTTATCTTCTTTCCGAATGGCATTGCAATCTGACAGTTCTTCCTGGGTGCATATATATATATATATATATATATATATATAATGGTCAGGGCTCTGTGTGAGCCAGTCAAGTTCTTCCTCACCAAACTCACCCAAACATGCCTTTGTGTGTGTACATAGTTATGCAGTTATATACAGTTATGTAGCAATTTTTTCATTAGTACAAACAGATATAGAAGGGGCAGTTGCCAATGCAAGAAACATGCATAAAATAATAGAAAAGTAAAAGAAAATACCAGCAGATCGTGCCTAGCTCTACTCTGTCTTAACAGTTACCTAATGCAACTCACTTTAACTAACCCCCAGACCAATGCAATAGAGCACATAAAACACATATCTACCAGTGAATAATAACAACATTACAGGGCTGTGGCGCAGACTATGCCTACTGCACCCCAAACAGTGTCCCCTCTCTCTGAACAGAGCATATAGCAGCCACCACATAGCCCCCCACTTAATGGTCAGCCTTCTCAGTGACCCACATGGCTTAAAGTCCGTTAAGTTTGCAGGGATTCTGTCCTCCCGCGGCAGGATCTCGGAATGTCCACTGTCCTGGTCAACATGAGTACAGGTAGGGCATGCCCCTTGGCCCTGGGGGCTTCCAACTCCTCCTGGAGGACACTGTGGAGGACATAAGTTTGATGCCCACTGCACCAAAACCCCAAGAATTCAGAGATATCTTTTTAAAATTCTTGCAAAAATCTGGATTATGTCTGGAAGTTTTTGATTATAAAGAGTCATCAGATATGTTTAATGTTACACACATTAAATATAATATCTGAATATGCACTCACGCTATATAATTGTCATGCCTCCCTATGGGCTGGTTGAAACTACAGCCGCTCTACTTAGCCGCTCTGGACTACAGTTGCCAGGACCCTTTGCTGTATCACATGACTCAGGTCTCTCACTGATCAACCTATCACCGTTCTTCCTCACTGGACTTCTAATCACACACACCTGTCACCCCTTGTATATAACCAGTCTGTTTGCAACTTCTCATTGCAAAATATTATTACCTTGTTGTGCATACCAAGCGTTTCTCTCATGTCAGTTAGTGTCATTCCGTGTATGACCTGTATTCTGTTCATGGCCTTGATTTCTGCCTTATCCTTTTGCTCTGTTTTGGTTTTCTGGTTTTCACCTCCCTGCTTCTGTTTATCAACTGTGATTTGGGATTCTCCCTTTGGGATTAAAGTTCTTAGCTCAGGCCTCTTCTGTGTGAGTCTGGTTCCGTCTGCCACCATTACAGGATGCTTTGCCACCATGCAAATGGCGGACATAGAGGCTGACAAGGCACACAACAAGCTGAGCAGCAAGCCTAGCTCACTCAACTTCTGACCGGAATCAAAGATATTGCTGCCCAACTGGGTGATCTCACAGTTTCCTCACCTGCTCTGGCTTCTACTCCAAATTCTGTCGCTAACAATCCAGTTGCTGTGAGTAAAATGCTTACATTTCCTGGAAGTAAACCAGATAAATTGGATGCATCTCCTGATAAATATAGAGGCTTTCTGTTACAATGCTCAGTGTATTTCAGTATTCCCCAGCTAGTACTGATCATGCTAAAATCCCTTTTGTTATTTCCTGCCTTTCAGATAAAGCCTTAGAATGGGTAACCGCAGGGTGGTCTCGATTACAAGGTCTGTCATATGAGCAATTTCTGAAAGACTATAAGTCTGTATTCAACATTCCTCATGATAGTCAATCAAGCGAAGAACTCTTGTGCAAACTCAAAAAAGGCAATTGCTCGGTACCAACCTACACTTTGGAGTTCCATACTTCAGCCGCAGGAAGTAGTTGGAATGAACCTGCACTCCTAATAGCATTCAGAAATAGACTTTATCCTGCGGCACTGACAGAGTTAGCCTGCAAAGATGACAACTTGACCCTTGATCAACTCACAGAACTTTCCATATGTCTAGACCAACTTCTCCAAAAGCGACCCTTGAACAAATGTTCTCTCCACACTCACATAAACTATAGCTCCAGTTCCAGTTCCAGCTCCAGTTCCAGCTCCTGGGCATGTGCTTGTTCCAGCTCCAGTTCCAGTTGGGCTCCGGAACCCATGCAGTGTGACTCTAACAGACTGTCCAGAGAGGAGAGGCTTTGTCGTCTTTACGGAGGTGCCAACACTGGGAATGTGGTGAGTGTTCCTACA